TTCCAGTTGTCCACTTTGAAGCCGTTGACATGGGGGCAGCCTGCGGGACTCATGGTAGCCAGAGCATCCGGCTTCGAGTGTCCAGTCGGGGCGACGAAACCCAGTTCAAAATAACCGAGAAACCTTCGCCGTCCCCTGGTTAAAACTAACTGGCTTTTAAAACAAGCTCGCCTGCCAAAATGCTGTCTTCTGGCTAACTGAACATAGTCCTGGTCCTGGTTGCGGTAACGGTTACACACGCGGTAGAGAACATTGCTATATTTTAATTATTACTCCACTGAGTAAGGAGTATCATTTAAAATTTTAAATGCACACCAATGCGGTCAATTAAGCTTTTCAAATTTCACTCAGTTACATGTTAGCAGCCTGGCTAAAGTTAGTTAGCATTGGAATTTCAACTGTGGCTTTACACGGTGAGAAAAACCCCGCCCTCATTCATAGCCGCGGGTCCAATGAGAGCAGACAACTCAAGGTGATTGACGTGTGCCAACTTTATAGGAGCAACCACGTCCCGCCCCAAGGAGGAGGTAGCTGCACAGTAATTGGTGGAACTTCTCCCCCGCGAACCACATCCGCCCGAAGGAGGACGTTGATTGGCTGCAACATAAATCAGCCTTACAATCAACCCAGAAGTGTAAGAACCATTTGAATTAACATTACAGCAGGTTAAACGTTAAAGGCAGGAATAAAAAAAACAGCATACAATTGTATTCTTAAACAATTTATTATTAACAGATCCACACAATCTCAAAACTCAAGCTCCCAGATGACATGACAGTTTAGTTTCATCTACTCGGCCTCACTTCTCTTGCAATAACGATGTCAAAACGGGTTTCTGTGCAGTGATCTAGCGCCCTCTCGTGGATCCGGCCTAAAAAAGGAAAGAAAAAAAGATACAAAACCAAAATAGTGCACCAGATTGTGAACACTCTTGTCATGTCGATGTTGATCAAGGGTATGTACACGTGTACAGAATTTCTACCCCGATTATCTACAATCACAATCAAAAAGCTTATACCAGTCTTTACAATAGATCAGATTTATTCCTTGTGGGCCCTAGGTTTTTTACCTAATGTGTGTTCTCCACCATCATGCAGGAGAACCAACCACCCCACCAAAAAAAAAAAACAACCCAAAAAACAGTTTTTATTCACACGTAGGTTTGGAACAAATAAGTCCAGTTTTTATTATTGTGGTTTCTGTTAATGTAGCATTGGCGCCCCAACCTGAACATTGATAAATAAAACACTGACAAAAATGTTTTCTTTTTTTTTTATCCTTTCTCAGTAAGGATCTTTACTTATCCTTTAGACACTGTGAAGAACAACCTAATGTTTTCATCATTCCACACACATTAGATTTTCCATGACCAAGTCCATATGTGATAGAATGGTTGTTTTCCTCTTAAAAAAAGAAAAAAAAAGAAAAAAAAGAAAAATCGAACTCATCCTGGGAACAACATGTAGCGGTGGCGGCAACGTTCTGCCCCAACCCAAGGCCCCTCAGGAGTAGCTTGATGTTTTGCTGCCGACATCATCTTCCTGTGAACCCATACTCTAGAAAACAAGTGTGAATGTGTCAACATGTTTTAAACATCAGAGGGTAACAGAAAAACATGGCTACAGTTTATTTTGGAGAGAAAAAAATGCAGTTTACCTAAAGAACTGATCATGTCACCTCGTAGTACATATGAACATACATCTTTACCCAACAGTAAAGGAACCTGCCGTTAGCAAGCAAGTAAGGCTAACAGCTCTTCTAAGCTAGTGGTTATCAAAGTGAGGGATGGGCACCCTAAGAGAGCACTGAACTATTGCAAGGGGACAGAGCTGAGCAAAGAAACGTCAATTTTATTTATATGTCCCACAGTAGGAAAATTAAAGATTTAATTTTAAAGATGTCATTTATTTCTTTTTTCTTCAATTAGAATATCAAGTTTATTGGAATTAGTGTATTAAATAATGTTTATTTTGAAGCAATAGCTCAATGTGTTATGGGGTTTCCTGTCATGATTAAACTTTCTGCCACAAAAGCAAATTCACACAAAAGTGTGATCTACAACAATAAGTGCAAAAGTGTACTTAAATATAACATGCTTTTTAATATTTTACATTTAAAATAACTGGAGTAATTAATGAACTCTATAGTAGAATAGAAGAACTGACCTTCTGCACAAACTGTGGGTTTACTGTAATTTCTTGATCCATAGACTTTAGTTTCTCGTCCAGCTCTATACATTTCAACATCTGAAAGGAGAAAATTGACAGAGTTGATAAAAAGAATTAATACATGATCCATAAACAGGGACAAATCCTGACAACACTGATAGTAGAAAAGTGTTCTTTACCTCTTGGTCAATTTTGTGAAGCATAGCAGGGTTGTTGTATTTTTCGGGGTTGTCGTGGAAGCAGACCATACCATCTTTTTGGTTAATGCTAGCGTAGATCTCACCGTCTTCAATCTGCAAAGACGAAAACCCAAGTTTGACTTCAATAATAAACATAAACTTATTTATAATTAACAATGAATGGATATGATCAGAACTCTGATGTTAATTATATGTTGGAGGTTCTTCTTTGCAAATTCAAATTCAACAAAACTTTATTACTTTATTTATAAATGATATTTTTTATGGTTATTGCAATTAGTCAGCCTTTAAGGGTAGTTACAAGAGTTAAACTGTTACATTGGCCCGGCCTTTGGACCAACTCACCATGTGTAAGACATATTTCTCTGCTTCCTGGGGACCTGACAGCTGCACTCGACTCGCCATGTCTTGCAAAGAAAGCGTCAGAAAAGTCTACAAGAGACAGCAACACAATAAAGTAATAATAAAACACATTAAGATATGATCATCAAAGTCAGCCATTTACTCATGAAGCAATTTGTTAATAACAAGTGTGTGCATGTGTGTCAATAACTAAATATTTATGGTAGTTGTGTTTGATTTTGCTGGTTGCTTTAAAAGATATCATCTGTTTTTTTGTTATTTTTCAAATACATTCTGATGTGCACCTGTGTATTTTCCTTTGAAGGTGTCACACAGCACTGACACCTGCAGACCCACCTTTGTTAGCCTCTGGATGTTCTTCTTGTAAAGGGAGGAGAGGCACTGTTTGACCAGGCCTGTGTTGTTGTCTCGTGTGAACGTCTCGCTGTGTTTGTTGACCACGCTGCGTAGCTCCGCCGGGTTGTTGGTCGTGTAGACCTGCACTAACTCGTGGTATGCGTTGCTCAGGGGCTGATGGGAGAGAACGAAGAGAGAACACAAATGTGTCCAAACAGTTCAGTCCAGCAGTGATGAATCAATTAATTAATGACTATGTCTGTTCAGTAGCTATAAGATGCTCGTATTTGCTAAAACAAATAACATAAAAAATTTCACAACATGTTTATAATTTTTTCAGAATGAACTCAAAAAGACTTCCATTGTCTGAATCTGTTCAACAGCTCTGCTGCACAGACAGTTGGTCAGAATACTTCAGAAAAGTAATGATATATTGGATTCTTCCTGCAGAAAACTATTCAAAGAAAAAAATAATTTAAGTTATTGTTTTCTTCTCTAAGCAGAAATATCTGCTGATGTTATCAGCCAGACTGTTCTTCTTTGTCAGGAAGGCAACAGTGCCACAAATAACTACCAGCTACAACCAAAATATGCAGAAGAGCATCAGTTAGTGCACAATGTCTCAGACTTTGATGCACTTGAGGTCCTGCAGGAGAAAACCACACCGAGTGTCACTGCTGTCAGCAGGACAAACTCTTTGTCTTAACAGGACAAACTCTTTGAAGACGTAGAGAGGCTTCATCCACCAAGAAAAGCACACAACGTTTCAAGCACAACAACATCAAGCTCTTTTTTTATCTTATCTTATTACCAGATGTCAGTCCGACATAAGAACGCCCAGGATGTGGTGAAACAGTTGATTCTTATAATATCTTTGATAACTTTGTTGCTATGTTGCCAAAATGCACAAACATCTATGAAAAATATAAGTCCAGAATCTTGGCAAAAAGATGGTACTTTAAAGGTGGGGGCAGTGAGGGCTTGGTGGTTAATGAAGCGGACTTGGGTCCTGAAGGTTTTAGGTTCGAGTCCACCAGCTGCCAAGTTACCACTTTGAGCATGGCACCATCCCTACACACTGCTCCCCAGGTGCTTAGGCTGCCCCCTGCTGACTTTGGTGATGGGTTAAAACCAGAGGTCACATTTGGGTGTGTTGAGTTCACTTTCACTTTTAGGTAAACAGAGATCAATCCTAGTAGAGGAGCTGATAAAAGGCCTAATAAATGGGCCAATCACTATACTGTATCTTCATCTATTCATGTATCTTCTCCAGACACAAAGAAAGGGAAAACAAGCATTTACACGGAAACCTGTGGATAGACTGAATAACTGGCCAAACTTGAATGCTTTGGACCGTGGGAAGAAACTAGAACCCTGGAGGAACTTGTAAACTCCATCCAGAATATTCTGTATGTAAAAGGGATGGAACAACAACCCCAATTTCACCATGTGGTCATCACTGACTATAGATCATACTTGTCAGGATGAAGTTGTACAGTTTGAACAGAAACTCACCTTAATGAATCTGCCTACTATCTGTGAGGTGTATTTGGGCAGCTGCTGCACTTTGCCGTGAAGAATAAGTGACACCAGGATGTATTTCTTATAGGCTTCCAACATGATGTGGCTCACCGCCATGGCTGGAGTGGTTATTGCCTGGAAAACAAATAAGGACTCATACATCAATCATACGTAGCGTCACATACAGCAGTGGCCCGAGAGGTTGGCCCAGTCCAAGCTGTTGCTTTAATCTCCACTGTAATTCATTTTAAACACTGTAGTTCCTACAAAGCATATGAAACTATACGTCAGTGCACAATCAGAAAAAGAGTCTGGATTTTGTGATGCGATACAATATAAAGTACTGTATATACAGTGAGTGACCGCAAGAGTACCTGTTCATAAAAATACAGTGCTCTTTCAAAGTTTTTGAGGCCCGTGTAGATCATGCCACCATAGTAGTAGTAACATAAAAAGTGCTTTGCGTCGTAGGCTCCATTCTCCTTACAGATGTCCATCATGTCCATCTCCAAAAAGGGCAGGACAGGCTTAAAGCACTTTGCTAACAAACACAGCTGCAGAGACACAAGGACAGACCAAACAAGTAATTATACAACTGGGCAACTTCAGAATACATTTTTTACATTCCCAGAATATAAAGACAAATAGTTATAGCTGTAATGGAGTCAGTGACAATGATGATGACGAAAAGTCAGACGCTCTGACTCACCTGACACAGGTCTGCGTGAACTGAGGTAAGTTGGTTTGTGTTCATCTGCATTTTGTCTATTGCCTGTTTTAAGATGACGACGCCTCTCAATGGCTGTGTTTAAAGAAGAGGAGAAAAATAAAAAACTAAACTACTAAAGTGAATGAGCAGCATTTCCCAGAAATGACAAAAACAGACCTGTTTACTTTACCTGTTTACGTTCTACAAGGGCATTTGTCAACTGGTGGCAGAGGCCTGCAACTAGCAGAGACGGAAGAAGGGACAAAAGTGTTAGGTTCAGATGAATTACTGATTTAATAGAAGCCGACTAACAGTCATGCAGGGCTCACATCTGTAAAGAGTTGCTGTAAATTGCAGAAAGTGCCTCATGACTTGTTCTCTACTTACAAGTGTCTGTTGCATATCTAATGTGTTCCCCATTACAGGTACTGATGAAGAGCTGAACTTGGGAGAAGAGTGTTTCAAAGTCAGGGATGTTTGGCATGGAGAACTTCACAAATCTGAAAATACAAAACCAACTTTCATTGATACAAGTACACTCAACTTCAAGAGATGAACATAATTATGGGATACGTTTTTTGCGAGTTGATTGAAAGCTACTAATGCAAATCGACACGCTCTTTAAACCAGTGTTTCCCAAACTTTATTTCTGAGGACCAATATTTTAAAAGTCACAAACCTTTGCAACCAAAGTCAAGAGACATTATTCGTAAACTCCTGGGAAACGTGATGCGAGACGACCCCAAAAAAACAACTCTTGCGACCCACCTGAGGGCCGCGACCCAGTCTTTGGGAAACAATGCTTTAAACTCAATGCTGCCTAGTTTAAAAACATTTAAGAGAAACCTTGAGAAATATTAATTCTACAATGTCTTAATTTTAAATGCTGAAGTAACAGGTTTGAGAAACTTTATGATGACCTCACATTTTCTGTGTATTAAACTGACCGGTAAGACTGGTGTCTTATGGTCGACATTACCGAAGGAAAGAAAACACTGTGGCATGCAGCACGTGATCAGTTTTGGTTATAATATCATGGGGCAGTGGTGGCTTAGTGGTTAAGGAAGCGGACTTGGGTCCGGAAGGGTTCAAGTTACCACTGATGTGCTCTGAGCATGGCACCGTCCCCACTCACTGCTCCCCGGGTACTCTAAGCTGTTCACTTTGGTGATGGGTTAAATGCAGAGGTGAAATTTCAGTATATGTCAGAATGACAAGGAGTTCACTTTCCTTCCTTCCTTCCTTCCTTCCTTAAAAATAACAATAAAGCCAACATACACATGTTTCAACATACACATGAATAATACTCACAGCACAGCCAGTACACCTAAGGAGTGCTCCTGTATGTCCAAAGCCCCCAGCACTGTGTCCAGGTGGGACAGATTTTTGGCCAGCAGCTCCCCACTTTTGTTAATTAACTCACATAGTTGAGTCATCTGACCTGGGAGGTACAATAAGACAGATTTAAGTTCTCTTCTTAAACTGGAAAGATATTCAACTCAATATAATAAGTTAAGTTATTGTTAAGTTTCAGATAAGTAGACGTAGACACTGGTCCTACTGTAATTTAACTAATAGTACAACTAGTACAATTCAATGTTAATAAAAATAATAACTATTTGTATAGCATAGTTCATACAATTATGCAGCTCAAAGTGCTTTAACAGTTTGACAAAAACACAGGGTTAGCAGGTGTTGTGACATTATGTTGAGACATTAAAACTTTTTTGTAAACAAGCCACAAATGTTACTGTAATATATGCCTGACCACTGTTGCATCAGAATCTTAGTAACGCATGTGGTACTGCAGAAAAAGATTTATACATTATAGCACTGACTAGCATTTTTTATTTTATTTTTTTCAAATATCGGGCTGTTGCTTGTATTTAACAACATTCGGCCGGTAAAGTGTCATGCCAAGGCCTTGCAACAGAGGGAATGCCAATAGGATTGACAGACGACTCTCAAACCAATTATCAGAGTCTATTCACTTTGATATCCAATCAGGTGCAGCAAGGGCGGGACTACCGGTCGGCAGTCACCAGAAATTATTTTCAGGATGAAAAACAAAAAGTAAAAATTAGACATTTTGTTTGATTTATTATGTAGTTCAATGATAACCTTGGCTTAGCTGTGAACCACTACACCTTCTGGTTACATTTTAAAGAACTATCGCAGCCAAATAAAGTATTTTTAGCGGTGTATTTACATGATAAAGCAAAAAAGGGGGCTCCAACCAGTTTGGCTGCCTGGCTATCGGCAAGGCACTGGATAGCATATGCTAGCTCCCCGGCTAATACTTGCCACTCCAATTAGTTTATAACGCTTACCTTGCGCAGAGAGCTGCCGCACATTGTTCACAAACTGCTCCAAGGCTGAAGCCATTATTTCCCGCGTCCAAAGTGGAGGTGATGTGCACTGTTTTTCATTCAAACGTCAGAAACTACTCCGTCCGGACAGAGACAGGGGGCCACACAGCCGCCACTGAGGGGAGCTATCGCGAGATCATACAACACAAGTGACTGCAACGGGATTTGGAACCGACCGTTGTATTCTTAAAGACACAGACACGTTACTCCAAATGACAGAATCTAAACGTTTGCTATTTTATCATTTATCATGATGTTGGCGCTTATTGTTATTATTATTAGTAGTATGCGTAGTAGTAGCATTTAGCACATATGTGAAGTAACATTTCCGTTATATAAGATAAATGTTAGTAATTTTGTGGCTTACATGTTGAAATCGCGACAAAAAAGGAGAAAGAGAACATTTTTGGATTGCTGAAAACAATTTATTTGTTGTTTATCTTGATTTACTCTTTATATCACCATTAACACTTTTTATCTCAATTGACATTATCGTTACCGTTCGATCATAGTTTCGACTGATCCCCATGTCACACGTTTTTGTCCTTGTATATTTTGTATTGTATAACTATGATTGTGACTTGTTTCCTATAAACGTTCCTTTTTAATGAAGACATAAAAAGATTTAGGTTTACTAATTTAGAGTTCTATCCCCTCATATGTTTCACCCCTTACCCCTACTTATAAATAGGTTTGTTAAAACATGATACTTAATAATGACTTATTTACCGTTATCCATCAAATACTACAAAGGAAAAATAAATAGAGAAGTCAATGTACCGTGGTGGATTTGGCTTTTAAACAAACATGTTTGATGAAGGAAATGTGTTCAAATATGAAATATATTGTAGTAGGACCAGAAGTGTAGAACCACAACATAGTAATAAGTATAGGAGTGGGTCCTCACGCTGTTGTTACACATCTTTGTTGACAGCAGCTCGAGTACAGTTTGAACCCTGTGCTGCTGCTGCTCCTCTTTACTACCGCTGGTGCTATTGCATTAGAAGCGATTTTCATTGTTGTGCAGTCCCTGTCAGTCGCTGTGGGACCTCTGATTGTTCATGGTAGCTAATACACAGTAACCAACGACACCAACAACCCCCCGTCACTACTGTAACCAGAGGATGTCCGATATTTATCTGACCTGCCCGCTGTGCTGTTGCTAACTATTTAGCTCAGATTAGCCCCTGTTAGCTTGGCCTAAGTCTTATTAGCAGACTTTGCACTTGGGTAAAACACTTCATGAAACGTATGACATTAGCTGTCAAGTGTCGTAAACGCCGTGTCGTTTTTATACAACTTTCATGCGCACTTTCATCCGCGGTTCTCCGTCTGGACAGAATCATTACTAGCCGCTGCTACCACTACGTCAACAGTGAGCGATGTCGGTGTCCGCTACAACCCGCCTACTCGGCACAGGGAGAACCCGTATCCTTGATTCGTTTAAACGGATTTCCGTCAACATGTCCTCTTCGTCGGCTTCCTGCGGTAAACGACTGCGGGTTCTAGTGGACATGGACGGAGTCCTAGCGGATTTTGAGGGGGGGTTCCTGGAGAAGTACCGGACCAGGTACCCGGAAGAGCCCTACATCAGTATGGATGACAGGAGAGGGTTCTGGGTGTCAGCCCAGTACGGGAAACTGAGGAGCGACCTGTATGTAAGTACAGACACACATACACTGTAACTATAATACTTGATTCAAAAAGTACTAACTTTAAAAAAGATAATATTATATGTCAGCAGTATCTATCATCCATCTTATGTCATTCATTGTATTCGGACATATTTTGTGTCTTGCATCTACTGTAGTGGCGCTTTGGCCCAGAGGCAATGTCTCTGTCATTGGTGTGGAACCCCAGGGTTCACCTCCTGGGCAAGTTCGAATCCCGGTTAGGGCAGTTGGTACCTTCCAGTGGACTCACCACCCGCAGGAAGGTTCAGGGGGGTTGGTACGGTGCAATGTGATTTGGGTGGCGACTGCTACCCCCGCGACCCGGTAACGGATAAGCGGATGAAAATGGATGGATGGATGGATGGATGGCATCTACTGTATAAAAAGTCATTTTTATGGTCTGCCAGCAGGGGGTGGTGCTGTTGTCTTTATGTTATTTTTAAATAATCCGGTTTCTGTAGTTTTGGGTCAAAGTATTCTATTATTTGTTATTTTTTGGCTTTAAGCCTTTTTTCACCATTCCTTTTGTTACACACTTCTCAGTCTATATTAGTGAAAATCAATCACCTATGATATACTTGGTGTATCTGTGCCTCGATTGCAGGAAAAAGCCATCAGTATCTGGGAGTCCAAAGACTTCTTCATAGAGCTGGAGCCTCTGCCTGGAGGAGTGGCGGCTGTTAAAGAGATGGCCAAGATGGATAAGTAAGTCCTTAACAAACAGTTACTCTGAGTCATAGACAAGAGTTTGATACAATGTGACCAAATGGAAGTTAAAACATATTGTATTTTATTCTATAATACCTGAACATCTGCAGCAAGTACAACATCACTTATATCTTTGGTGCTGCTCACAACTAAAAGTAATAACAAAGCTTTGAAATCCGGCACCACAGTGACATTTAGTGGTTTGTAGAATACATAGCTGAGGCAAACAAAACAAATGTGGTTTTATGTCTTGTGTTTCATTAGTTTTACATTTATGTGAACACCTAATAATTTTAATAATTTAATTTGATTTAATAATCACACCACATATATTTACATATTTGTGACGTCAGCATTATATGGACACTCACCACAGCATCTGGTTTTGGACATATTTAAAACAATCATTGCTTACATGAGTCTAAAGAATAAAATAGAAGGGAACGTATGTGTCATCTATTCATTGTCTTGACTGAGGCCATTTATTATTTGTCAGACTTCATATAAAAAAGATGAATAACATTATCAGCAGCTAAAAGGCACCAAGACCTTGTCCAAAAAAGTTGGCTCGATGTCTACAAACAGGATAAAATAATGATCTGTGATTCGGTAAAGCAGGCTGAAGACACTGATTTCAAACATGTGCCAAATAATATGCCCAACTAAGAAGAGTTGATTTGACCAATCAGGTAGCCTCGTGATCCCTCATTAGACACAGTGGCTTTAGTCTTAAAGTCCTCCTACACATTTCTCCTTAGTCCAGTCTGTTAGTGTGTACTCTCAGGTCAAGTTTATGAAAATACTGCAGTAAAAAGACCTTATGTACCCCATATTTTTAAAAGGAACCATCTGGATCACAGGCAGGCCAGTCAAACACCCACCCATGTCTACAAAGACACTTGTAATGTGTACACTGTCCACAGAACTAGTCTCTCATGTCTCCGTCCATCTCAGCTGAGACCTCGTCAACGTCTCAGAATAATCAAATGGTTAAACAACACCTATTTTTTAATGTATCAGGATTTTTCCAGTGTTTTCGATGAGTCTTTATGAAATGTTTTTTTTTCCCTGTCCACAGCACAGATGTCTTTATTTGCACCAGTCCCATTAAACATTACAAATACTGCCCATATGAGAAGGTAGGACGGTGAACAACACCACATCTGTGTCTCTGTGGAAAAGCTGCTGTTGTTGTCTCCTTCTAAAAAGACTATGTCCCCTCTCTCTCTCTCTCTCTGTGTGTGTGTGTGTGTTTGTCCAGTATTCCTGGGTAGAGAAGCATTTTGGTTATGACTTCCTGGAGCAGGTCATCCTGACCAGGGACAAGACATTAGTCAGTGGAGATCTGCTCATAGACGACAAGCCCGACATCCTGGGTGAGAAACTACTTTTTAATGACCGTCCTCAAACTAACCTTTGGTTTCACACATCAAACCTTTAGCTTCTATTTACAAGTTCTGCTGCTGGGTTTTACTATTTTCACTTGTGTTCTAACTTGAGCTAATTCATAGCTGTTTTACTTCATCCTTTTGCTTAACCATTATCAAACTCACGTGTAGTGAGATCTGTTAGAACTAAATGAATGAAGAACATTCAGACCTTGAGAAAGGATAAAGAACACGTTGAAGGAAGGCGATTAAATAACCATGCTTGTGTAATTGAATGTAGGTGTTGAAGATCAGCTTCGTGTCCTTCGGTCTTTTCACATCTCTAACCCACCCTCGTGACTCACATGGTGCTGTCTGTCATTTTTACATAACTGTGTCCCCAATCAGGCGTGGAGTCCAAACCAGACTGGGAGCACATCCTGTTCACTGCCTGCCACAACAAACATCTGACCCTGGGACCCTCGCAGAGACGACTCCAGTCCTGGTCGGACGACTGGAAGGCTATCCTGGACAGCAAGAGGCACTGATGTCAGTCATGTTTCCACGAAAGAGAAGAGCGACGGAGGCGTGGATTTCTTAGTAAGTTCTCGTGGAGTGAAAATTCGGAGAAAAGGAAGATGGGAAAAAAAATGAAGAATCTGCTGGTTGCTTTTCATTTGGGAGATGTTACTCGACTGGACCACACGGTGGCAGTGTGAGACCTTTCCATCACCAGTGCTGGACACACACTGCTCTGCCCTTTTAGTTCTCTCAGTTGACATTTACGTGTTTTTTTTATTTTTTTATTTTTTTTTAAAAAACACTTCTTGTCGTCAGATTCCTCAGTACAGCATTAGGCCGACGGCTGTCACACTCCACTACAGCAACACTTACCACAAAATTTCACAATGGTACAGACGTGCAATACAAAAAAAAAAAAAAAATCCAAACGAAAAAAAGGTTGGTGCTTAATGTTTCACTTCAGTTTGGGGAGTTTACCAGACCACTGTTGACAGTCTCCATTCGCACAGATATACATATACCTCTTATCACTTGGGTGCTCATGTATGTACTATATGTATAATATTGTGGTTTTATTTCAAACAGAGTTGCACAAAACTAAAATTTTGCCAAACCCCTTACTCCTATAGAATTAACTAGAAAAATAAAACAGATTCAGTTAAGTATTGTGTGCTAATTAATAAAAGTTTAAAAATAATCTTTGTCAATTACAAAAAAGTTGAAAACTAAATACGATGATTAGAAAAGATTTTTTTTTTTTTTAGTTTATTTTAAGTAGAAACATTTTAAAGTTTTTATTGCATACTAAATTTTTGACTGCATTGTTGTCTTTTAACCAAATCAGTTTGAGAATCAAGTGTTGGTCATAAAAAACAACAAACTAGTCTAAGTCTAATCTTCAGTTTATTGTGATAGTGGCTCTGTCATGGTCCAGGGCTGAATTCAGATGTTAATGTGAATGATGAGACATTGTCAGAACCTCCACAGAGCCTGGAACTAACCTGGTGTGGGATCAGAGGTCAGGTCATTTGAAGAGCATGTGAGGAATCTTCCTCAGAAGACCCGGTGCCATAATCCCAAGGATTACCTGAAAAACAAAACAAATCCTGTTTTAACACTAATGATTGTCTTGTACTGTAAAATACACATTTTCTCTGTGAATTCATGTGAGCTCAACTCAGACATTTTTATTATTACTTTTTTTTTTTATTTCTGGGTCTAATCATTTCTGTCATTTTTGCTTTTTTTGGGAACAAACCTGCGGGTCGTGAACATGTGTCTTCATGTTTGTGTTCAGCTGTTGTTTGTGCAGACAGCAGTGATCAAGTTTACATGTGTGTCTGTTTTTCTTTCACCTCAGCTCAGGTTTTCCATTCTGGAACATTTCTGTGTAATTTGCAAAAAGAATAAAAACACAGCAAAGGCAGAAGCTCTGTGAATTCTTTGGTGTAAAGGTTACCCCCACTGGACGGCTCTGTTATGACATCAAGCTGAGTAACAACGACTAATGCTCTGCGAAGAAAACTCTTCAATCTGACCTGAAATGTACCAGAAGAAAACATTCTGTTGGTCATGATATTCACATTACAAAAACAGTTTGTTTTTACTTGGAAAAACATTTGAATGTTACCTTGAATGAACAGTTTGACTTCAAATAATAAAATAAATAAATCCTGTAATAATAAATCACTTGGTGATGTCACGCCGTATTCCCCAAGCCTTACCTTCTGTGTTACGTCCATCAGGGCGTTGATGGTGATGTCACCACAGTCAACCAATAATTCTCAATTCCTGATGGTCATTGAATGCGTCATTAGGCTTTAGCTCGTTTTGTTCCTTCCTCCTCAGTAGTGGCTCTCTAATGAAACTCATTAAACATGGAGCTGCTCTGTCCGTCAGACATCTGAGGAACATCTACAGAAGAAGAAAGAAACAGAACATCTCAGACAGATGTCACTCCAAAAAAAGTCTAATTTTCAAAATTAGGAAATCAATATCAGGAAATCTAATTATATGTAGAAATATATACAAAACTCCTTGTCAGTGTGACACAGCTCACCACTGCAATCAACCAGATGTGACCTCTGCTTTTAACCCATCACCAAAGTGAACAGTGGGGGAGCAGAGAGTGGGGACGGTGACATGATCAGAGCACCTCAGTGGTGACTTGGCAGCTGGTGGACTTGGCACCTTCTGGACCCAAGTCTACTTCCTTAACCACTAAGCCACCATACACAAACCAGGGTGATACATTTCAACAGCCATTATGGAATATATTTCAGGGAAATGTTATATAGTATTAACCACAACCATGTGGGATATGATTGTTTCATCAATGCTAACTTTAAGCTTTTTTACAGGTAATTGTTGCGTTTCCATTTTCTTTTTTCGTTGTTTCATTAATTTAGTTTTTCCTTTCTGTTATGGTGACCTTTTGATCTTTAGACTTTAACCTTTGTTTTGTAGTACTTTGGCCAGTAGTTCTAACCTTTTTTTGCTGGGATGTCTGTCCCTGGTAGAAACATTAATTAAAATGTATTTATTAATTTATTAGTTTATTAAGAAATTTCCAGAGGCAACAAAAGGAGCATAATAACAACAACAACAACGTTAGCCTCGTTTGCGACCTGTGGATGTCACAGTCCTGTGTAAACCCTGCGGCGACGGTTGAACTTTTTCGCCGTCCTGAGGAGCGGCTCCTTTGAAGTGCTGTTAGTTCCGTGTGATTGAACTCCTGACGGCCTTGTTTGTGTGGAAACCACAGCAACATGACAACTACTAAAAACCTGACAATGACAATGTCTGTTTCTTGAAAATAAACTCTCACCAAGAACCAAAACATCACAGTTACATCCCTGACTCCGTCCTTTTCATTAGTCAGTGAAATAAAACAAAACAAAGGAACACATTTGACGTTCTGTTCAAATCAGTAAACAGAACGTCACTGCCTGCACGGAGACTTCACACTGTCTGCTACTGTCAAAACTATTGCGTCACAGTTTCTCCCACGGCAGCAGTAAAGCTGGGTCTGGGTCTGAGACCCCCTCCTGAAAAGCATGATGCTGCTATAGAAGTGGAATATTCCGAGGAGTTTTTCTCTTTTTTATTTCACAGAACATTTGTGATTGTTTCATGTGATTATTTTCTATGACTAATTATGTTTATTCTGCAGAGGCAAACAGAGTGTGACAGGAAGACTGGATGTACAACAGAGGGCAGTGGAGCATGAACTGTTTGACCAAAAAACAAGTCAGGTTCCAGCCCTTCCTGTTTGCTGACTCGTCTTTCCGTGGCAGCTCCTCCAACACCTCCCCTCACTGCCCACTGTGGTGTCCTCCTTCCTTCTGTTTGTTTGACTGTTTTACAGCAGGGGGGAGACATACGGGGGAAGAGGTGGAGGTGGTAAATCTCCATGTTTCACTGTGGAGCGGTCGAAAAACAGCTGTCTGTTGACGACTTTGATCGCAAGAAGCACGTTAGCTCCTCAACTCACACAGAGAGACAGGAAGTAGTTTATAACCAAACACTCACAGGCACAACATTACATTTCATTTGGATTTCTAGTTCTAGTTCTAGTTCTAGTTCCAGTTCTAGTTCCAGTTCCAGTTCCAGTTCTAGTTCCAGTTCTAATTCTAGTTCCAGTTCTAGTTCTAGATCCAATTCCAGTTCTAGTTCCAGTTCTAGTTCTAGATCCAATTCCAGTTCTAGTTCTAGGTCTAGTTCTAGTTCCAGTTCTGGTTCTAGTTTCAGTTCCAGTTCTAGTTCTGGTTCTAGTTACAGTTCCAGTTCTGGTTCTAGTTACAGTTCCAGTTCTGGTTCTAGTTACAGTTCCAGTTCTGGTTCCAGTTCCAGTTCGAGTTCCAGTTCTAGTTCTGGTTCTAGTTCCGGTTCTAGTTCTAGATCCAATTCCAGTTCTAGTTCCATTTCTAGTTCTAGTTCCAGCTCCAGTTCCAGTTCTAGTTCTAGGTCTAGTTCTAGTTCCAGTTCAAGTTCTAGTACTAATTACAGTTCTAGTGCCAGTTCCAGTTCCCGTTCTAGTTCCAGTTACAGTTCTAGTTCTAGGTCTAGTTCTAGTTCCAGTGCTAGTGCTAGTTCTAGTTCCAGCTCCAGTTCCAGTTCTAGTTCTGGTTCTAGTTACAGTTCCAGTTCTGGTTCCAGTTCCAGTTGCAGTTCTAGTTCCAGTGCTAGTGCTAGTTCTAGTTCCAGTGCTAGTGCTAGTTCTAGTTCCAGCTCCAGTTCCAGTTCCAGTTCGAGTTCCAGTTCTAGTTCCATTTCTAGTTCTAGTTCTGGTTCTAGTTCTAGTTCCAGTTACAGTTCTAGTTCTAGATCCAATTCCAGTTCTAGTTCTAGATCCAATTCCAGTTCTAGTTCTAGTTCTAGTTCCAGTTCAAGTTCTAGTACTAATTACAGTTCTAGTGCCAGTTCCAGTTCCCGTTCTAGTTCCAGTTCCAGTTGCAGTTCTAGTTCCAGTGCTAGTGCTAGTTCTAGTTCCAGTGCTAGTGCTAGTTCTAGTTCCAGTTCTAATTCTAGTTCCAGTTCCAGCTCCAGTTCCAGTTCTGGTTCCAGTTCCAGTTCGAGTTCCAGTTCTAGTTCCAGTTACAGTTCTAGTTCTAGTTCCAGCTCCAGTTCCAGTTCCAGTTCTAGTTCCAGTCGACCCAGTTTCCCACTTAATTAACTACTCCATGGTCGTATCGTTGCTCTCTCCTCCAACCTCAGGGTCAGGAGTCAGGTCATTAAAGAACACCTCCTACAGACGCAGCGTTGTGAGTACGTACTGTAACCACGCAGTGGTGGAGTGGCGTCAGCAGGAGGAGCTGCAGCTACTTGATCAGGGTGTGTTCCATGTGCCAGCACATGTGACATGTGTGGAACAGTACACACACCTGTTGGCTGTAAGTGACTGAGGTGTTGGTGAAGTGTATACAGGTTTGGAATCAGTACCACGCCTCTCACAGTGACATCATCTGATTTTTTTCTCTGTGTGGAACAGGACGCCATGATTCACCTGGAAGTCGCCTGATGAACACACACGTGGGAAAAAGATATTAAAACATCTTTAAACTTAGAGTGGAAAAAAACCTGGGTCGAGGCAAAAAGAGGGCGGGGGTTAAGATAGAGACAAAAAAAAAAGATCTATGACCTGATCTTTTTTTCCAAATATCTGTCATTGGTCAACTTTTTACTTGGAATTATGGCCATTTATTGGTTTACATTTGGTTTGAAGAATGTGGGCCATATCTCAGCCAGACTTTAAAAAAGTTGAAAAAAGGATTAGGGTTCAGTCATGACGAGTCGTTTGGTCAGAGTCTTTTCTTTCTTTCTTTGTTTGTTTTTAGAAACCATGAAGAATATGGAAAGCTGATTAAGAGCATTGTCATTTTCTTGGGGACCAAAGGTTTAATAATAATTTATTTCTCATTGTTTTACCCTGTGGAAGTCTGTAGTACAGGAAAAGACATTCTTTGAAACTGAGAAACATTTCACTCCCAGCTGGAGACAAAACCTCGTTTGTCTTTCAGGAGAAAAAGTGACATTTGCATAAAACATCTGGCTGCAGGAAGCTAGTGATTAGGCTGTGATATGCACGAAGAGCTGTGATTTTTTTCTCCCCTTCCTCTTTGGTCAAAGCTGCTGCTGCAGAAGCGTTCTCTCCAGTTCACATAATTGTATAGTTTAAAAGGACTCCATTATTTGAGAACATTCATGGAAACAGAAGTCATTTCCATGTAAGGCATAATGACTTCTGAGGAGAGTGAGAGGAAACCTGATTGGTGAGTGAGGCGGGGGTTAAAGTGTAGAAGAAGAACTCAAGTTCATTATTCTGACACATCACACATACGTGTCAAAACAAATGTAAGCAGTTTGACGACACCTGCAGAGGTGTTTTGATTCTGACCATCAGTAATTTCCTGTGTTTTCATCAGGATTGTTGACGACTCTGTTGATGTCCACCGTGTGTGTGTGTATGTGTGTCTTTGGCTGAGTGGAAGTAAATGGAGGAGGAAAAGGAGGGTAAATTTCCACTGCGGACCACCACATCACTCTGCCATCCATCTTCCAACTACAGCAGATATTGCTGTTGACGCACTAATGCCTGCAGAAGCAAGGCCTCTCTTTATAGAGCTGCTTCATTTCCAGGCACGGAACAGAACCGAGCTGGAAAATTTTCACATTAGCCGCTGGCGTCACACATAGACACACATGTTCACTTCAACCTTGTCCGCTGGCTTATTAGGTTTGGGAATCAGGCGTTCTCTCAGTACCGATTCATAAGACAGCAGGTGCTCATGCACCACCTCACCTTTGAACTGTAAGAAACATAAAAAAAACCAAATCTCTGCTGTACAGTCTGTCAACATTTAACATGAAAAACTCTTCACCAGCCCCACACGTAAGCACCTGTGTATCTGAGGTAACGGTTCTCCTCAGAACTATCAAGAAACACAGCACATCAGAGTCCAATGATGTCAACAACAACTAAATATATATAAGTTGCACAAAACCTCTATAAATGATTTAACATTTTCAAGAAACACACCAACAACTAGACTTGCAGCAGGCAAAGCAAACATTCAACGGAAACAGGAAATGACATCACGATCATGACAGCTGTAAATTCTAACAACTTCAAGGCTTTTTTTTTGGTAAACACAAAAGGGAAGCCTAGAGGCTGGTGGGAGGAAGTGCAGCAGTTAGTCCAGTCTTTTTCTCAGACTCCTGTCTAAGCCCTTCTAAACCGATCTGGTCCCGGCCCAGGCCAGACTGTCAGCTGAAACCCACAAACCCATATCTGTTCTTGTTTCGTTGCCCGTTTCCCACCAACGTACTAATGCTGGCAGGATGTAAACTGTTTTTCTCTGACATTTTAAAGCCAGTGCAGCTTTTTCACGACACGTCATCCTCCAAATCCTGTA